TTGTGTTATATCTCTATTTAAAATTGTTTTAAATATCATTTAAAATTTTCATTCAAGTTTTGAAAACAAAAAATCAATCTTTGATATAGACAAATGTTATTACATACTTTTTAATAAAACAGTACCTTTTAGGAAAATAAAGACATAATTTGTAAAAAGAAGAATTGTTGAAAAGTATTAGTTACTTTAGTTAATTTCTTGAATACTTTTTATTATTTTTGTTAGAGTTGTTTATGGAAATAATTTCTATAATAAAAATAAAATTCATTTAATAAAACAAAAGAATTAAAATGTTTTTTTTCTTGAAAAAAGATCTAAATTAAGATGAGATTGAATTGTCTTTTGGTTTTACAGATTAGTAATTTATATTATTTAATAATTTTATTTACTATTTAGTTAATTTTTTTATCTTCAAATTTTAAATGAGATTAAATTAATATTTTTTGACTGAAAGAAAGAAAGAAAAAATGAAGCAAATTATTAATTTATTGTATTTTAACGATAGTTATAATTTTATTTATATAACTTTTCCATAAATATGTGTTTTTTGTTGAATTATTTATGAGTAAGAAACTACTAATGTGAATAAAAACAAAATAAATAATTTAGAGCTTCATTTTTTGTGTGTTTAAAACACTTGTCTTAAAATCAAAAAAAGAACCATTTTGTTTAAACAAATTTAGTTTAACCTTTACAGGTACTTAACCTTCATTTTAGTTTTTGAAAATATTCTTTTCATTAAAAGTTATCGTATTACAGAATAGTGTATAAAACCTTTAAACGAAATATTAAAAATTTGTTATTGTAATTTCTAATACCTGATATTTCTCATTCGAGTTTTATGGAATGAGGAAAATTGAATGAAGGAAATTAAAGAGAAGAGAGTGTATAATTGTTAGATTGTAAATTAATAGTTTTAGAAGTTATAAGTTATGTAAGTTTTGAAAATAAAAATAATAAAACCTCTATAAATTTGTTAGGAGAAATTGAGGGAGATTTGTAAAGTGATAAATTAATTGAAGTAAATGTTACCATAAAATATAAACAAAAATAAAATTATTTATAAAATAACGAAAAAGTCAGAAATTTGTTAGGTAACTTAAACTTAGTAATTTCAAGAAAGTGATGATAATTTTCTTGAAGTGTTAAATTCTATAATTTACAATTCTATTACTAAGCAGAGATAGAGATATTAGTTGAGTAGAACCAATGAAGGGAATTCTTTTGGTCGTAGAATGAAAAAGAAATGTAAAGAGTTTTTTATTTCGTTAGTAGACTTGATATATAAAAACAACTTTGAACTATAGAGATAATAAAAATGGAAAAGATGTTCTGTAATCAATGTGAACAAACAGCTAAAGGTACTGGCTGTACAGTTTGTGGTGTTTGTACTAAAGAACCTATTGTTTCTAATACTATGGATGCTCTCATTTATGCCCTTCGTATGAATGCTCTCGTTGCTTTAAAAGCAAAGAAAAATGGAATTGAAGTTGATAATGAATATCATGTTCTTACTTGCTCAGCATTATTCTCTACTTTGACTAATGTTAACTTCAGTGAAAAAGATATTTCTCATCTTGTTGAACAAGTTTTTATCCAACGCAAGAAATTAATAGAAAAGTTACCAAAAAGTGAGTTAAATGGAGTAGAAGATGTTGAGGATGTTGCTCATTATATTGAAACTCATCTGTCAGACAAAAGACCAAACAAATGGAATGACAACCAAGATATTCAAAGTTTAATGCAAACAATTGTCTTTGGCTTGAAAGGAATCTGTGCCTATGTATGTCATGCACACTTATTGAAAAAAGATAATGTCCAAATCTTTGAATTTATCCAAGTTGCATTAGCTGCTGGTTATGATGGTAAAGAAAGAACATTAGAAGACTGGATTCATTTAACATTAGAAGTTGGTAAATGGTCACTTGAAACCATGAAGTTATTAGATGAAGCAAACAACACTCTTGGACATCCAGAACCAACAGAAGTATTAATTGGACATAAGGCTGGAAAATGCATTTTGGTTACTGGACATGATTTGCATGATTTAGAGTTATTACTTAAACAAACTGAAGGAAAAGGAGTTAATGTTTATACCCACGGTGAAATGCTTCCTGCACATGGATATCCATTATTGAAGAAATACAAACATCTTATTGGTCATTTTGGAACCGCTTGGCAAAATCAACAAAGAGAATTCCCAACATTCCCTGGCGCTATTCTCTTTACTACTAACTGTTTAATGAAACCATTACCTAGTTATAAGGATAGAGTATTCACTACAAACGAAGTTGGTTTTAATGGTTTGGTTCATATTGGAAATGATAAAGATTTTACTCCAGTTATTCAGAAGGCATTAGAAATGGAAGGTTTTACTGATGATTTGAAAGAAGATACTGTAACTACTGGATTCAGTCATCATGCCATTCTTGAAGAAAAAACAGCAAATAAGTTAGTTTCATTAATCAAAGAAGGTAAAATTAAGAATATTTTTGTTGTTGGAGGTTGTGATGGAGCTAAGGCAGGAAGAAATTATTATACTGAACTTGTTCAAAAGATTCCAAAGGATAGTATTATATTGACTTGTGCTTGTGGTAAATTTAGATTCTTTAGAGAAAAGCTTGGAGATATTGAAGGAATTCCAAGACTTCTTGACCTTGGACAATGCAATGATAGTTATTCTGCAATTGTTGTTGCTTTAAAACTGGCTGAAATATTTAAGTGTGGGGTAAATGAACTTCCATTACACCTTATTCTCTCATGGTATGAGCAAAAAGCAGTTGCTGTCTTATTAGCATTACTATATCTTGGCATTAAGAATATTAGAATTGGACCAAGTGCACCTGCATTCTTAACTCCTGGAGTGTTTAAATATCTTCATGATAATTTGAATTTAATGATGACCACTACACCTGATAATGATCTCGCCAACTTATAAGAATGGCAAGCCAATAGTCATTAATTAAGTCTTGGTGATTTATATTTTTGTTTTAATTTAAAAAATAAGAATTAGATGATAATAATGTAATAGAAATTATTATTATTATTCTATAGTCCTTATTGTATTTTATTTCAATAGTTTTTATTTGATTTAAATCTTTATATCAAAGTACTTCAATAATTTATGTTTTAGTTGTTCTAATAGTTATATATTTCTTTAATTGGATGATTCTTGTTTTCTCTTATTTCTCTCTTTTTCTTCTTTTTATTGAACTTTTCATTCCATAACTTTATTTAGTTCTGATTTCATTAATTAAAATTGTTCTTTGTTATATTGTTAATGATTATTTTGTCTTCAGTTTATATGACATTCTTTCCATTATCCTTCTCCTTTGTCTATGAATTATTCTTCTTATTTCCTTTTCGACTTAAATTACGACATTCCATTCATACTAATTATTAGGAGAGGTTAAGTCCTAAAGTTATACAAGTAAAGAATGAAAGAAGAAAAGAAAATAACATTTGCCAAAAAGAAGTCTTTTAACTTTTATTCAAAAACACTTCCTCCAATAAATTCTCTAATCAATGAAGTAGATCCAATAAGGTGGTCATCAACTGGCATAAACAATTCAAGTGTATCTAATAAATTACGTGCCATATTATAGTTTGGATCATCAACTGGAACAGTTTTTAATAATGGAAGGACATATGGATAAATAGCTGCAATCTCATAATCCATTGAAGAATTCCATATTTTATCTGCTTGATCAACAAATGGAAATATGTATTTCTCTTCACCCTTAGCAACATTAAACCAACTCTTTAATGTATGTGATGCTGTGTAATTTCTAGTTAAATAGTCTCGTACTATTCTTCTATAAAATCTTAATACTTGATTTCCTATAAAATTATACTCATCAATGTTCAATTGTGTGAGTGGTGCTATGAAGATATAATATTTTTGTTCTCTTGGTATAGCAGGAGTTAATGCTTCATCAATTCCATGAAGCCCTTCCATAACAATAACTCCATTTGGTGGTAATTTAAGGACTTTATCTTGTATTAATGAATATTTACCTGATACAAAATCAAAGACATATGGATGAACTTCTTCTCCTCGGAAGAGTCGTGTAAGTGTATCATTCAAATCATCAAGTCTCAGTGCTTCTAAACACTCAAAATCATAATTTCCATTCTCATCTTTAGGAGAGTCTACTCGATGTTTATAATAATCATCAGTACTTAATACAACCGGTGTAATTCCTCTAAGTTTTAATTGTACTCCAAGTTTTTTACTAAATGTAGTTTTACCTGATGCACTTGGTCCTGCAATAGAAATAAGTTTAACTCCTCTTGTTTTGATCTTTTCGATAGCATCTTCTGCTATTTGTGCTATTTCCATGTCTTGTCTATTTTCCATCATCATTATAGTTGTTTTGTCTCCTTTTATAATCCTCTTATTGAGATCACCAATACATTCAATTCCAACTGCTTGTGCTACTTTATTTGATGTTTTATAGTTTTCTATGATCTTTTTTGTTTCAATTTCTCTTATTGTTTTTGGAATTGGTTTGTTTTGTTGTGGGAATAATAACATCATTCCTGTTTTATCAGTTCCTAATATTAAATTAAAATCTTTTAATATTCCTGTTCTTCCTAAAAGTGGTCTAACAAATAATGTCATAAATCCTTCTAAATAACTACATTTAATTTCTTCATTATTAGTACTTTTTAAAAGTGAAAGTGTCATTTTTCTATTAGTCTTTGTGAAATAATTAATTGCTTCTGCATGTGATAAAACTACTTCTTTTATCTCTTTATTCCTATTGATTAATTCTTCCATTTTGTGTTTAATAGTATTACACTCTTCTTCCGTGAACTCTTTTCCATCATATTTATTAATACAATATCCATTATTGACATGATGCTCAACAGTAACTCCAAACTTTGTTCCATATGTCATATAAGCAGCAGTAGCAAATACCATAACCAATGACCTTCTATAAATTGAAAACCCTTCATAAGAATTTAAAAATACAGGAACAACATTAGCAAGACCAACATTAATACTAGCATTTGTTGAATATACTCTTCCATTAACCATAATACCAACTAATTCATTATTATTTAATGATGGGTGTGAAAGTAAGGTGGTTAGGTGTAATGGTCTAGTGTGAATTTCTTGTGTTCCATCAGTAAATGTAACAATAGTTTTTGAAATGTCTATTACATTATCAATGGCATTAGGAGTAGATGAATTAATAGTTGGTGGAGATAAACTTGACATAATGTTTTTGTATTAATGAAAATATTAGTTTCTAGATCTTGTAGTAGAAAAAGACTATATTTTTAGAGTGAATAAAATGGAAGTTTTTGGTTTGGTTTTTTCTATTTTCAAATGAAAACCATAAATAACACTTAAGAAAAATAATAAATAAAATTCTTGTTAAAAATAATTTAAGAGATAACAAAAACGAAAATAAAGAAATCCTCAACTTAATAATTAATTATAAGATTATTTTGTATGGGTAACAGCATCACTTGTAAGTATGCTTTTCTTCCTCCTCAAAACAAATATTCTATTAATGCATTTGAAATTTGTCATATCAACAATAGACATGTCCCTTATTACATAATAAATTCTGAACTTCCAAGTAATAGGTATATTATATTTTCACATGGAAATGCTGAAGACATTTCTACTTCTATAGAGTGTATGAGAAGATTTTCTAAAATTGTTCAATGCAATATTATTGGTTATGATTACACTGGATATGGAAGTAATGTTGGTGACCCTTCAGAAAGTAATTGTGATCAAGACATTTTAGCGATTTTTCTTATGGCTGTAAAAGACATGAATATACCACAACAAAATATTGCACTTATGGGTCATTCTATAGGATGTGGACCAACACTATGGTTAGCAAATCAAATTCAATTGGATAAACTAAAAAAATATAATATTCAACAAGGTATTCTTGGGAGTGTATTATCTATAAGTGGGTTTACTTCTGCTTGTGCTGTTGTTGATCAAAGACTAACATATATTCCATTTACTGATATTTTCAATAATGAGAATACAATTAAAGAGTTAAAAATGCCAGTCTTTATTGCTCATGGTTTAAATGATACAATTATTCATGTTTCACATGCTACTCGGTTAAGTGAGGCTATTAAATGTAAAGACAATTTTGAGTTGTATTTAGTAGAAGATTGTGGACATAATGACATATTCAGTAATATAGAATTTCAAACAGCAATAGTCTCATTTATAGAAAGTTATTTTCAAAATCATCTTATTAATTAAATTCATTAGTAATAAAGAAATAAATTAACAATTTAAATTTATATATTATAAACTTGTTCATGAAGTAAAACATCAGTTAATAACCAATATTTCCTTATAGGCTTTGTCTTTAAAGAAGAAGGAATTGGAGCTGCATTTGTTTTTAGAAATTCATCTGTTTTGATTGATTTTTGAAAAGACTCTTCATTTATTTTATTTTGTTTTTTCCTTGAAAAAGAACTTGATGCTGGTGGACTGTCAATGAAGTTTAACAATTCTGACTTACGAAGTTCTCTTATTTCTCGTGTTTCATGAAAATAAGGAACACCAAAACTAGAAAAAATGTCTTCTAGTAAAGGAAAGTGTGGGTTTAGAACAACAACTTCTCTAGTATGTTTGTCAATTAGTTTTAGTTCTCTAAAGTTATCAACAAAGTTACATAAAGTATTATGTAATAAAAGTGCTATAGAATTAATTAATTCTTTGTTTAAAGTTTTTCCTGCTAATTTAACAGAATTAAATCCTAATTTTTTAATTGTTAATAATGTTCGTTTTGAATTTACTACTTCAAATGAAACTTCATTTTTTCCAATTTGTTTTGCTACTTTCATCATTTCATTAAACATAGCACATCGTGCACTTTTTGCTTTATGACGAAAAGAAATTCGTGTAATATCTTTTGGTGAAGGGTCAGAAAGAACAGTTGAAGATGATGCTGCTTGATTTTTTTCAAATTCTTCTACAATCTTATCAATATCATTTGATGTTACTGTTATTGGACCACGAATTTCTGCAACATCAAAATACTGCATTGATTTAGTTGCTGTCCTTTTTCTTTTATGAATAATTACTGTACATCCAACCCAATTTAATACACCAATAACAAATGCTGTTAGTAATGCTGTTTTAGTATTTTCTTTTTGTTTTAATAATTTATTTTGTAAAGTAGATGAAGTAAATTCTTTTACTGAAGAAGAAGAAGGACATGAACAACTTGATGAATTGTTTGACATCTTGAGTTTTATTTTTAAGTTCTTATGAATAAACTTTAATAATTTTTTAATGGGGTTTTTATGCTTTTATAGTATATTAATAATTTTTATTATTAAAAAACTATATTTAATATCAAACAGTAAAACTCATGAGTTTTGTAAAATCATAAATACTTTGTTTTATATACCACAAATCAGTTAATAATACAAAATGTCACAAAAAGAAAGAACTTTTCAATTGGTGAGGATTTTTATTAAAAAGTTTTTTTAAGAAGACTTGAAAATAAAGAGAACTTAAAAATATAAGATACAATGACAATGGCATTACAAGTAGGTCAATTTGATATTAAAAACATAAAATATACACTAACAAATAAAGTATATTTCAACACTAGTGATTACAAGTCATTTGATCAACCAGAATATGTTAAAATAGATAATTTTGTATATACTGCTACTAGTCTTGACATAGTTGAACAAGGAAAGTTATATCTAAGTAAAGTACAACGAACAGATTTGAATTTAGGATTAAATGAACAAGTAAAAATAACTAAATTTGAACCTAACCAAACTCAACGATGTACTTCTTATTTAAGAATTGATATTGGATTCTTTAATAGACCAACACAAATAGAAATTGATGCTGAGGATATTAGAAAATTAATTAAAAATGATTTTAATAAACAAATGGTAACTCAAAATCAATCATTAATATTAACAGTTAAAGGAGTTCCATTTTTATTAAAATTTGTTGAAATTCAATTGGTTGGAGCTAAAGGAGAAATTATTGAAAACGCAGACCGAGGACTTATTCATGAAAAAATAATGAATATCGATATTTCTAAACTTGGTAGAGATGGTGGATTACTTACTATTAATGGTGGAATGACTCAAGGCACTTTATTTACTAAAAATTTTAATCCAGAAGGAATGGGAGTTGGTGGACTTGACAAAGAATTTACAGATATTTTAAGAAGAGCATTTATGTCTCGTATGTTTCCATCAGAAACTATTAAAAAATTAGGTATTAAACATGTTAAAGGAATTTTGTTATATGGACCACCAGGATGTGGAAAAACTTTAATGGCAAGACAAATAGGTAAAATGGTTTCTTCTGTTGAACCTAAATTAGTTGAAGGACCATCCATTCTTAATAAATACGTTGGAGAGTCAGAAGCTAATATCAGAAACTTATTTGCAGAGGCTGAGGCTGAACAGAATCAAAGAGGAGATGATAGTCAACTCCACATTATTATTCTTGATGAATTAGATGCTATTTGTAAACAAAGAGGAAGTCGTAATGATTCTACTGGAGTATCTGATACTATTGTCAACCAATTATTAAGTAAGATTGATGGAGTTAATGCATTAAATAATATTCTTGTTATTGGAATGACTAATAGAATGGATATGTTAGACGATGCTTTATTAAGACCAGGAAGACTTGAAGTTCAAATTGAAATTGGACTACCAGATGAACACGGTAGAGTTCAAATTTTAAATATTCATACAAAAAAAATGAGAGAAAATCATATGTTAGATTCTAATGTTTCTATTGAAGAATTAGCTAAACAAACAAAGAACTTTTCTGGTGCTGAATTGGAAGGATTAGTTATTTCTGCTTCATCATTTGCTATGAAAGAGAATTTTGATATGGAGAAATGTAAACCAAGGAATGACAAATTTGTTGTTAAAAGAGAACATTTTGATATGGCATTAGGAGAAATGAAACCTGCTTTTGGTGTTGACAAAGATGATCAAATTCCTACACTTCCTAATCCAATGTTAGTTTATTCATCCGCACAAATGCATGTTAGAGAAATGTTAAAAGACTCTGTTCAACAATTAAGTACTTCAACAGTTACTAATAAAATTGCTGTTATGATTGGTGGTAAACATGGTAGTGGTAAAACTGCTCTTGCTGTAGAAGCAGCTAAACAAAGTGGATTTCCATTTATTAAAGTATTATCTGCAGAACAATTAGTTGGATATCCTGATGTTATGAAATGTTCTAAAATTGCTAAAGTATTTACTGATGCATATAGATCAACTCAAAGTGTTATTATTATTGATGACTTAGAAAGAGTACTAGAATATACTCCATTTGGACCACGTTTTGATAACACTGTTTTACATTTATTATTAGCCTATATTCGTAAACCAGTCCCTACTGGAAAGAAGTTATATATATTATCTACTACTTGTCTTGCACCTGATGTTTTAAGAAATTTAGATGTTTGGGAAGCTTTTACTCAACATATGCATCTTCCAATTGTTACAGGATGTGAACAATTAAAAACCATTGCACGTACAAGTGGAATGGATAGTAATATTGACGAATTAGGATGGGTTGATGTGATGAACCAATTCCAAAATAAAGAAATTGCAATTCAAAACGCCTTATTATTATTAGAAAATTTCAAAGGAAAGTCATATGACTCAAAAGAATTTACTATGTTAATGAATACTTATTGTTCAGAAGAAATAGATCCATGGGATTCAATTGCTTATATGCAAGCTTAAAAACAACTAATACTTTTTTGAATTATTATTATTTATATTTTAACTATAGTTTTAAATCCATTTTCAAATAAAAGATGAAATGAATAAAAGAAATAACAAATAATTAAGTAT